TTACAACTGGCATGGAAGAAGGCGGTCTTCGTGCCGAAGTGAACGTATCTGTGCGACGCAACGCAAATGCGGAAGGGAGCTTCTCGTACTCAGGCGTAAAAGGTCTAGGTCAGCGGACAAAGATTTAAAAAATCTTAGGTGTAATGCTAGTCTATGACAGGAAGGCGCTGGAGGGAAGTCGCCGAATGGCCAAACTATGTCGGTCACTAACTTATCCAAGCCGTTGAGGGGCTGGCTCTTATTTAGAGGCCGATTGCTGGGTCCAGTGATTTGGGAAAGAGGCCTCTGAAGAAAAGGCGGGGGATAGCTTGGGAAGCGGAAGTGGGATTTTGACGTTTTATATTTGATGGGTTACAGTATCGCACTGTTCGTACTAAAGTGATGAGAGGTCAGGTAATTTGATCATAAGTAGCAGTGTTACATATTTTCTTGATTGATTATTATCTTAGGTGCGGGACGCAACACTCAATCCCGCAGTTATATATGAAGCACACAGCTGGATTACTAATACAGTTGTTTCACAAGGTTGCTCCAAAGTTCAGGCCTAACCTGCGACATGAGACATGCTTCTATTGAATCGCCACGAGCCCAATGTTGTGGGCGGATCATTGCCAGACACAACCTTTTTCTTCAGTGGCCACGTGTGGCGAGGCCCGTGCCGCAAGCCATGTATATTTCGCCTTGAACTTGCAGAGGACGTGCGAGAACTGCTGAGTCCCTGAACGTTGGAAGTCGATATCCGCAATAGACTTGGATAGATGGATAGACACTTCTCTCTCTCTACATTCTCTTGTGCCTCGGGCCCGCGCGCTCTGACAATAAGTGGGCTAGACGTCAGATTGGGACCAGCAATGATGGATAGAAGCAACATTGTCGCGACTATCGAGGACACGACACTCAGTCGAACAATGCCGATGTTGGTTGGATCAGGCATGAGATCGACTACTCAACAAAACAGGCAAACTGGAATCGAGAGAGCATCTCACGTCGTTCGATTCGTGCAATTAATAGGCTGGTAGCATAGGTTGATGGAGTATCAGATATGCCCCGTTCGGCCTAGAACCTGCCCAACGGATCTCCTGGCCGCCCGCCTGATCAGCGATAGAGCTATTTCAACCATGCTCACCGCGGTGAATGGGTTTCAAGATACCGACAGGATTCTTGTCAAACTTTGGACGAGGTGGATCGCCACGATCATGTATGCTTCAAGCCCCGCCCCCATGGCAAGAGGATCATTGCCGTCGTCCCCTTTTACTTCACAGTATTTGTGTAGACATCGGGAGCACTTTACTTGTATCACGGAGTTATAATGACCATCCCGAACAACGCATTTGCAGCAGTACCAGACAGTTGAACCGTCCACCGATATAGAGCGGCACCTTCCGCCGTGTTTATGACCGTTGTCGGTATCGACGGGGTTGGGATGCGGACTGCCGTTGGAAGCATAATAGGAGGTTGCCGTGCGCTGCTCGGACTCGAATACAGCGGCAGCCTCGTCCGTATGATACTGTCGCAGGTTGGAAACGACCGCTGTCGTCATTCCGATCTGTGGCGTCAAGTCTTAAGTCGGTGATGGGACCTTGGGTGTGAGGGTGTCGTCTTGTATCTCGCCACGTCCCTTAGACTAGGGTGTAAGGTCGCTGGTACAAGGAATGGTATTGAACGGGGAATTTAACGAAGGAAATGTTGTATTCTCCGTGAGTGAGCGACTTTCAATACCCCGCTCGAGGAGGTTGGTCAATCTTGCCGTGACCTCGTCCAATGTTGACTCAAGGATTATCTGTCTCGGCAACCCACAAAGGATTGGGCGGGGTCGCTTGACCTGAGGCACGGCACGAAGCGCTTCGGGGCGCGGATCTCTAGCACCAATGATTCTAGCGCGTACTAACTCACCTAGCACGTGATGCGCTAACAAAATAGAGGTATTTCTTATCGACCTTAGTGTGACACGAGGCTCGACCGACTATCCGCCAGTAATTATTCCAGAACGCCACGGAGACTGCTTGCCAGTCAATCTCCAGTGGCGCTCCTGCTTTCAGACAGATACACGTGATCATGGGATTCAACTAAAGCTATCGTTGATCAGACTCCGCGGCCGACCATTGGCCCGTTCCTTGGCCTGAGGGTCGAATACGCGGCGGTACTAGTCCAATACGATTTTCACTGTTAGTGTAGACAAGAAAGGTTGCCTTGCAGTTATAAAGTCCTCGAGGACAGGGCAGGAGCACCACAGAGCAACAATGGCAGATGCTGTTGATCCTAGCTCCTTGCTCGGCATGACTGCTTAAAACCTAAACCTAACTTAAATACCCCCAATGCCCCGTCCACTCCTTCCACCCACCCTCACCATGCTACTAGTCGCATCCTCCTCCATGGTCTCAACGACATTTTCCTCGCATCTCCCTCCCCTCCCCCAAATATATGTCAGTGACCAACGGGAGCTTCCACAATAGGCATATGACACCAAACCCCCAACGCTAGAGCACAACCTTCTCTCGACAGGCTCTCGCACTCCAGTTCGGATTGACCGTCCCTTCCCATTATCAGTTGGAACGAATATTATTGGGCCGCCACGGAATTCGCATAACATCTGCTTTTGACCCTGTGGTTCAAATCCGGCATTATGCCCCTGTAACCTGTCCACTGTAGCGTACTTTCCATGAAGTATACGGGCCATCCTGAGTTGCGTTGTGTCGTCCATATGGAATTCCGACCGTCTTCCAGCCTCCAGGTCACCGACCGAGGTCGTCCATAAGTGGTCACGTTTCGGGAGCCAGAATATCCGGTTAGTGTCCCATCCACCTCTTGAGGGACTGGTTTTCTCGGTGACGAGAACGTTGACAGGTCCCGTTCTCGATGTGGCCCACACGCGAAGGGACGACGGCGGAAGAGAAAGGGCTTGTGTCTGCCCACAGGGTGACTGTCCAGGAGATGGAGGAGGGCATCGTCAGGAAATATAGTGAGGAGGGATAGACTCGGCTCCCTCGGGCAAAGACCTCTTACAAGTGACGCGACCGTGAGCCATATTTAGGTCGAGACGAGTCCGGTCAGGCTAGAACCGCACCGAATTATGCCTAGACGATTCAGGGTGGGTTGACGGGTGGCTTCCAGCAGGCAGCAGCCAGGTCCCAAGGCCGGAACGGAAGGTCGTGCTCACAGCTCTTCAGACATATATTAGCCGATCTTTCACCCGCACTGATCTCTTCCATCGTCCTTGCTTTCTCTCACAACGTCTCAACGGCAACCTAGAGATATATTTCTGTCAGGACGTTGGGATCCCTCGCAAAAAGCTCTCTCTACCAAGGCCCTCTCATACCATTCTCCCCATACTACTCTACAAAATGCCCAGCGTCAATGGATCTCCCCCGGGAACCTTCCAGAGACACGTGGAGGACATGCGCAATCTGTTATATTGCAACATATGCTTCCGGCCTTTCTACGAACCCTTCATACTCGGATGCGGGCATACCCGCTGCTACTCATGCTTGGCCAGCTGCTTTAGTAGCGCGCCGGATGGGAGGAGACATCGGGAATGCCCCGACTGCAGAGCGGTCGTCACCGTGCAACCATCCCCCAACTACCTCCTGCGCAACGTGGTCCACATGCTCATTAGCCGAGTCGAGTTACTGCCCGAAGACGAGACGGTCGAAGAACATCGAACCGCAGCCAGAGAAGAAGCAGACTTACTCGGGGCAGACCGGACCGGACCTGGTCTGTTCCGGGGTGTCTTCGCGCGAGGAGATAATGTCCCTCGTTGTCCAGAGTGTCAAGGGCAATTGGAAGAAGGAGAGTGCTTGCAATGTGGCTTTCGCGAGTCCGAACCTGGTGGAGAGGGTCTCTCTGATTCGAACGATAATATTTCCGACAATACAAGTTTCGCCACAATCCAGGAGGAGTCCGACGGGATAGAAATCGAAATCGAACGGTTACGTCAAGAGCACGGCGCTCGACCAAGTCAGAGGATTCCGAGAACGCCTATTCGTATCGTCATCAGCGATGAAGATGCGGGCACTGAACATGGCGCTTCAAGTGGTTTGGATGGCACCACCGATGGCGACTCAGACCAAGACGAGACCGAGGACGGTGAATCGTTATCCGATGAATCTGGTGACGCGGCAATGCAACCACCGCGCTCCACCGCACGTCGACTGCAACACCTGCAGTCTCGGCGAGCACGAAGACCCGGAACGGCGCGTACTCCATTTTCAGGTCGGCGCGCTACGAGAAACAGACTACTCCAGGGCATTAATTCAAGGATGCGCGAGCTCGAGGCCTTCATTGCTACTGGAGTGAGGTGACTAGACGAAGTCGTCGACGCGAATGACGGGCGCGTTCGAACCCAACTCAATACGCCATCGATCCCCTTCGAGGACTTGGACTTACTGACTTGAGAGTGGTTTGGAGCAGATCGGCATTCTCAGCCTTGGCTGTGAGATGCCACTCACTTTACTCAACCGACTGAGGATGGAGGAATGCGAAATCCATCTGCTAGATGCTGGCGATAAGGTCAGGGCCATAGCTTGGCTCCGCTGGAGGATGAACAAGTCGATGCGGTTACACACAATAATACAAGTTCTTATCTATCGAGGCTGCCGAGAGATGGTGTTTTATTTTAACCTCTGGTTGCGTAGACGGGCCAAATGATGTACCCACCACAAAACATTAGTACTACACAGCCATTCCTGGGCTAAATCAAGAGCCGATTAACGCAAAATGATCCTTATCCAATTGGCACTCTAATAATACAGATATGATACAGTTTGCGCCGCGCTAGTAGCCAGTGTACCATCCATTAGCATGTATCACCCGGTCAATGCGAGTTTCCATGCTCCGTATACAATTATCAATTATCTCCTGCTCCAGGTTACAGTATCCCACTCATGTATAATAGCTCTTTCTAATGCTTTAAAAGCCTCTTTACTCTTGGTTTGATCCAGGAGGTGTGGCCACCTATCAATAATGCGTGATTTGAGGATTGCCCAGACGTTTTCAATTGGATTTAAATCAAGACTGTACGGTGCCCAATTGAGGCGTGGAATAGCGTGACTCGTGAACTATTACTCAATTAAACGAGCTCGATGGACAGGCGCATCGTGGTGCATGAATATCGTCCCTACTTTCCAACACCTAGATATTTGATCATCGAGTAATTTACTGCCTTGTAAGAGCGAGCAGAGAAGCCTGTTTGAGGACTGTCTGGGTCACGAGTCATAACGATAAGGTCTGACTTGCCACCGATCCGAATAGCGCCCAAGGCCATTATTGAGACATCTCTTCATTTGAAATGAGGCACTATCATCTCCTTATCCCATTTCTGGCAGGGTGTACGAAAGACCCAGGTACACCTTTTTCCAGAGCCTTGTTCAAGTGAACATTCATCACTGAATATAACCGTGTTCCAAGGATCTGTCCAGTCTTGTTTGTCATCCGCCCAGCGATATCTCGTAGCAGCATTCTCAAGCGTCAAAACAGGCTTCTCTTGTGCGATCCAGTTCTTTATTCCGTGCTTTTAAAGTATAGACCAAAAATTCTCGCGGGAGAAGTCCAAGCTAGTCTCATACTTTAATGTAGTATAGGTAATCATTGGTCGAAGTCGACAGATACGGAGAATTGTTCATCGCGTTCATCAGAAATTAAAGGCCTTCCGCAGCGTAGCTGTGAGTTGGCATCGTTGCGAAGTGGTGCGACTTTAATGGGGCTGCGGGCTGTTCGCTGGAACATTGAGAGTACTTGCGATACTCCTCCAGGAGTTGCCGAGTAGTCTCGCACCCTCGATTTGGGCTCGTTCATATGGAGTCCCAAGCGACCTCACTGAGAGGGATTGAGCTTCGAGAAACGACTGATCTATAGAATGTCCGCCTGCAGTGAGTGAGGTGAAGTCAAGGTACACGCGCGACGCATTTCGCGACGCGTTCAACTTACCACTTTTCCTACTTTTTCTAAAAAACCAGCAATGCCTCCACAACGACGAGCTCTACAGTCTATTGACCCTAATCGGGGATCGAGAGAGGAATTAAGTGTAGTCGTGTGCTTCGAGCTCAGGGTGTTGTAATGTGTCAACACTTTGTAGAGGTATGAAAGATCGAGGGCGATACCACCATATTCGAGCTCGTAGGATTGCAGCTTGGTACATGTAGATACAACTTTCCCGATCTGACATTTTGTATCTCCACATCTCCAGTGTGCTACACGCCTTGCACTGTTCGCAATCCTGACTTCACTCTGGATACCGATACAGTAGTCTTGTTGGAAAATTTGGACTGTACAATTGTCCGGCCCAATCGATACAGGCAAGTCAGCGTGGATGAGATTTCTGTCTTCTTCTATTCTATGGTCACCGTTCTGGTTTATGATAGATAATTACTAGGCAAAATGACCTCCTGGAGCTTATTTTCCATGATTCCAAAGCATTCCAGAGGCTGTAGCACTGACTTCATTGATCGTCATCACAAGGTTGCCTGCCTGTTCCATCGATAGTCATCTAGCCGCCAACAAGTCTGTACAGATCTCTTCCAAGTGTCGTAAGCCGAGGATACAAAAAATCGGATCGATCCAAACGACCGGTGGCGACTCATAGAACATCTGCCAAGCTCGAGGCCCTAGAATATGTAGCGTGCGCAAGTCTTGAAGAAGTTTGCTGTTGAACTTGGCAATGTGGCCGAGATATGAGAAAGTCTATTCCTGAGGTATTTATATTTTCAGATCCTCGGGCCTAGGGAGATTCAGGGTTATCCACTGTGCGATAATCCCCTGCTGTGATTCCTCGTCGCTCAGCGGTGAAAGGTCAGTGAGATTGACCGGGAAGTCTCTGGAAACCATTGTTGCTTTGTGAATTATGCTGCAAAACGCAGCCACTGTCCATTGAAACTTTGATTGTTGGTCAACGTCCTCCCAGGCGCGACCACACTGAAGGGGTTCGATCCAAATGCCGCGGACGTACGCAGCATACCGAGGGCTCTGAATGAGGGTGCGAAAGAAGGAGCCGACATTATACCGGTGTCCGTCGAAGAATGAGTAGAGATGGACCTCGCCAATCGCGCTCATGGATTTTGAAGTGAGACATAGTGCCCACTAGTGACTTCTTTCCATAGTCATTGCGTACCGTGCTTGCTCTATTTTTTTGTCCACCTTTCACAACACCAGCTCGGAGATAAGCCATAGAAGGGTGAATATCAGCGCCATCTCGGTCTTTCCGCAGCCTGCTTTGTGAGGTAAAGCTCCATTCACACTGGGTCGTACACTGTCGATTCCGTTCGCCGCGGCTGCGGCACTCATCACCGACCCGGGAAAATTCCCTTGCCTGTAAAAGTCGACGAGAATAAACGTGGGTGGTCGATTCCAGTCGCGAATGCATCGAGCCACGGCTTCCCCGACGCTACCATTTCCCTGATCCGCATTTGTGTCGTAGATCTCATCGTACTCGGGCACCAGGATCTCCTGGCCGCCAATCGAGAAATTCTGATTCAAGTTGTGATTCGCCATGATCATGGTGCTTCTGCGGGTAGACTCATTGGCTCCGGGAGGTCGATCCGGGGTGCAGGGGAACGTCGCATCGGTGGGAGAAAAAGGGGTCTCCCACATCACGGCGAACTCATCTATCAAATACGGAACGGTGCGCGCGTCCGCTCCGTAGTCCAACATCACCACGGCGCGCGTGCCGTTTTGGATCATGTCCGCCAGGGTCGGCCACGAGTCCAGGTCCATATTCCCCTGAGGGGGCTCGTACACGTAATCGACCAGGCCAGAGTCGACCATCGGGGAGGTAAAGTTCGCCGCGGGGATGCGGTCGCCATTGCCCATCAGTAGAGTCACAACTTCGTAAGGGTGGACGGACAGCCACGTCATCACCAGGCGCAGGAGGTCGACGAGCGGCCCGGCATCGAGGATCCAGCAGCTGGTGTGGCACATGTGTACGACGCCGTCGCGGACGCGGGTCTGGAATTGCACTGCTATGATTAGCCTCGTCGTCGTGGAAGGAAGTGACGCTGACACCCACGCATTCTCACGCCGTCATTTAACTGTGTTTCGACATCTTCCACTTGGTTGCTCCCGGGATTACCAAATTCGTTGAATGGGCTATTGTGGGCTGCGACGTGGGTGATGTTGCTGAAACGGCGGTCGCACAGGTCCGCATGGCCGTTACAGAGTGGACGGAGAGGACCTGGCGAGCCGTCCCGGGAGGCCTTCTGCGTGACAGCGCTGAGACACGTGCCGTGGCCGATGAGCGAAATCATCATCCACAACAGCATCGCGCCGCCACTCATCCGCATTGCTGGTCATGACACGATGGTTGGGCTCGCGCCATCTGTGGCCCCGATACGACACACCGTCAAGCATCCTTAACTTATACCGTCAAGACACAGACACGGAAGCATCTGTTTTCCTGGTTTGTAGTCCAGTACGAGATCACGCCATTGATCTGCCGCCTTAAAAAGGCAGAAATCGTCGCCTTTCACAAAATAGGTTCTGCCGTCCAGCGTGCCGACGATCTTGGCGGGACAGGATCGAAATCTAATTTACCTTTATGCTGGAGGTGGACTAAGATGGTAATGAGCTAGCATCGTCCTCTCTTTTTTCTCCCACTCAGCACAGGGTTCTGGAACCAAACCTTAGACATGGATAGGTAATGGCACACTTCGGGGGGATGAGTCGCATAAATGGCGTCGAATCGCGTCCTTCATTCACGGTATCATACCGGATCTTCCTCGCTTCGCACTCAAAACGGCACGGCCCTATTTAACTGTCCTGTTCAGGCACAACATACTCGAGCCTAGAATGGCTATTTCGTGACCATCCCCCACAAATCGTTCACATTCAATCCCGCGGTGTCGCTCCTTTGACCCTCCCAGCTTTGGCGGACGTGAAATGGAGAGCCACTCTTCCGCAGTGAGTCAGTGACACGTCTCCAGGCGCTGATAAGCTGCACCGGGTGTCGGAAGTTCCGCTGCAGTTGAGACACAGATACAATATCGGTGAAATTCCACGCAAAAACTACAATACCCCCCAGCCACCCACCCGTTCCTAATCAAGGAAAGCCCGTACAGTCTCTCCCATCGAACGGTCACCGTAAATACCCATCCGAGCCCTTCCCCAAGGGACACATTTCAGGAAAGTATGACTGCGTTGTCCGATTTTGACCAATAAAGAACGTTCTAGCTCATCCAATAGATCTGCTCAGAATGCATTGGGCAATGGGGTGCCTTGGTAAATTACTGTACGCGACTAGAACACTTTAGGCTCGAAATCCCACCATCGGCGTTCGTGTAGAACCAACATGGTTCGTCAGACCTCCGAAACTATGGCGAATCACTGAATGTGTTGGGCTCGAAGCGCGCTCCTGCCATTGTTCGACGAGTTATTGGCGCCAAAATTCACCTAGCGCGTACTAACTCTACAAAAACCTGATACTCTAAAGTACAGATACTAAAACTCTGTGGCCGCTGGCCATAATGTCTCCTTTATCGATCTTCAGCATTTGGAATGCTTGAAATCATGGAAAAAGGGCTCTTGGAGATCAACAGCTTAGTTAATTTGTATAGAAACTAGAATGGTGACCACAAAGTGGCAAGAGACAGAGATCTCATCATCATCCTCATTGACTCGCTTATCCAATCTAGATGCTGGAACAAGGCCAAGTTCGTATTTAGCCACGTGCTCTCGTGCTTGTTTCGCGATGCTAGCGCGAAGCATGTCAACAATGACGTCGAAAATAAGCCGATGACGTCGTACCTCCAAAGGGTCAGAAGTCACGTGGCTTTGTGAACGGATTCCCCGAGGCGATGGCAATGAGGTCAAATAGAACCGACGTATTTGGCCAGATGGCCACCGCGTGGGTGAAATTGTTTCCAAACCGCACACGTCTCGCCGACCCGTTCGGGGCTAACCAGCATAGTCAGATCCTTCGCTCGATGTGCGTGGGAAGGAGGAGAATCACGTGCGTCCAATCGTGCCAAGGCGCGACCAAGCACTGGCAAAGACCTCGCTTTTGGCCGTCAAAACGTTCCCCTCTCTCGATTTTCCGCCATGACAGAAACACCCATCGCTGCCCACGACGAAATCGCATTGTGCTCGAGTCACGGAGGCGTTGGGCGCGGCCTCAGCATCCTTCGACCAGGGTTGGTGTATGAAAAAAAGCCTCAACAATTCCCGGCTCAACCCCGCTCGCTGACGACTGCTCCACTTCCTCTGAGTATCGACGATGTGACGGACCCGAGGGTCGCTGTTTGATTGTTTGGCTCGCGCTCCATTGTCTCGTTTTGGATCTCTGACTCGAGCCACACCTCCCTATCTGCTGGAGGCAATTGCCACAGGGAAGTAAGGAATTGAGGCACGAAGGACTGGATGGCCGTAGTGGCATCAGAAGGCACTCTGGTGTGTCGAGTATTCTGGTGGTTTGGCCTCTGTAGGAGTAAGTCCAAGAGAGCTCCTCAGTACCAAGCTCTGGTTAGGTGACAGCAATATTTAAACAGGCTTGTGTCTGTGGCCTGGAACTCGTCATCGTCGAGGATAGAAGGTTCAACGAGGTAGGATCGATGGATTTATGAGCAATCGGAAGGAGTTGAGCTGTGGTCTTGGCAGTGTCACCAAATGCATCAATCGCTGTAGAAAGATCTCTGTTGATTGTTGTCTGGGGAATTGATTGATTTTGAAAACAGGGCCAGTGGCCGCCGGCGTCCATCGCATTTAAAAGCTTGCACCTACCGAAGTTTTCCTGCGGTTGCCGGATGTGTGTCACGTGATCTAGGCAGCCCACGACCCGACCAACTTTCACGGCCATCCTCAGGTCTGGTCAGTCTGCAACCTCTCTCTCAAGTTTGGCACATCCTCTCGTTCGCCTCGGCACTCCTTGCACCTACGCGCGCCCGCCTCGGCGAGGGAGGCGACGAGACCGTCCGAGCGATTGCGTAGGTGTAGCTCGTCTCGCTCCTACCCTCCTTCCGGCGGCACGTGGCCGTCACTGCTGCGGCTTCTACAGATTTGCGCGGAGAGAAGGAGGGTCCCATCAGCGGGGATGACACACGTCCTGGTCGTGCTCCAGTGCCCGAGGCCCTGCTGTCGCGGATTGCCCTTCCTGCCGATGGCACGAGGCACCGTTGCCTGCCCCGAGCCCCATCAGGTGGTGATGGTACAATGTCTCTGTCCAAGGTGCTGCCCCCAGCCGGAAGAGCCTAGTCCGCCATGGGACGTGGGTCGAGACCGTCCGTCCGAGCACAGCCCCTTCTCGAGTTACCAAAGTCAGGGATCGATCGATGATGTTGAAAACGTCGTCCGTGGTGAGCTGGTCGACTCGCTGGTCCGGGAAGATCCCTCAGGGAATGGCGATATCCGATCCAGCTCGCCCACACCTCAGGTGGATGATGGACGGTGCGGTACACCGCTCTTGAGGACACGGGTATCGGGTTGGCGGGAGCAGAGCACGAGTCCCCCTGGGTGGGTTCCGCCGCCCGGGCAGGGTGACGGTGGCACTTGCCCATGGCAGGGGGCCTGGACAAGACACGCTCCGATCCGGGTCGACGACGCTCGGGAGGCCGGAGTCTCCCCGGAAGCGTCGGAAGACGAACCTGCCAGCCCAAGGAGGATGAGCTTGGTGGCATATCAAAGTCCGGGCAGCTCCACACAAGATTTCATGGTCCACACGGCCGAGCGCGTCGAAGCGGAGTCCTCTTCGACATCTCCACGTCGTTTCAACGCCGGGTCAGAGGACATTTCGTCTGCACGCCCCGACCCGAACCGCATTCGGTTTGAAACTGTCCAGAATGACGGTTGACCTCGGAGACACCTGAGGGGCCTTGGACGGTGAGAACAGAAGTTGTGAGGATGGCGAGAAGTAGAACCGGGTTCAGAGGTGCATCCCGACTCGGTGTGTCCCTTGCGAATAGCCTTGGACGCAGCCGCTATGCCTGTAGCTATCCTATGAAGGGAGATTTTCTGGCACTTGGCCTGGGTTGAACCTTCGACGTATCGGGGCAAACTGATCAACAGGGATTATTCATCCAGCCGCAAGGTGATCCAGGTCGGCATAAATATTTATATAGCGGGCCTTTCTCGATACTCTTAGATCTATACCGCATTGCGTCCGTGTCTACACCTAGATGTTGCCCGTAGATACTGTAACGTTGCGCCGTTCAGTCAGGAGAACAAAATGCCGAGCGAGAAGAAATGAAACGGATAGTGAAGTCTTGACCTTAAAGATCCGCCAATACACCGGTAGGAGAGTAGGATGGTACGGGGCCGCCGTTCTACCACCTTGCCAGTCTCTCGTCCCAGCTTCTTCCACCAGATCTCATCGTAAGAGGCCCCGCGCACCTCACAGTTCCCCGTCGGTGTCCTCCATCAGTCCCCCGCCGTCAGCCCGAGTCTCGGAAAACAGTCCGTTATCCACATCCATGCTCTCTATCGCCTCGGCCAAATTTCTTTCTTCCTCAGGCAGAACACAATCATCCACAATCCGCTGGGCCTCTTGCATTCGTTCCCTACTCCACAGCCGGTGCCCAATTTTATCTAACAAGGCATCGAGCACCGACCCCAGCGCCGCCGTATACTGACCTTGCTCCAGCGTGAAGTCGTTCTCGATCGACGTTTTCACGATATTGTAAAGGGACTGTTGGGACACTCGACTCACCCTCGCCAGGTCACCTGCGAGGGAATAGACTGCTCCACCAAGTAGCTTAAGGCGCGTGGCAACAGCCTCAAGTTTGCCCCCCAACAGGATGCCTGCCTTAAGACGTTCAATGTTGGGGTTGGATTCGGGTGGGAGATTCGCCTCCGCAAAAGACTTGTAGTCGCACAGCGGCTTTCTCGGTGCAACGCCGTCCGGACCCGAGTATTCCCGGACTCGCAGGTGGGTTTTGAACTGGCGGTTCATCCAGAGGAATGTCCCTAGCAGCCAGGCCCCACGAGCCAGGGACGTGTCGTCGTCGACGAAGTCTACGGCCAACAGGGGGGGGAACTCGACAATGACGTTCCTGACTTGTTCCACCAAATCCCGCTCGGAGATGTCGCGGAAGTGAGCGAGGTTGGTACGAACCTTCAAGGCCAGGGCGGCTTCGTCGTCTTCTCTCCGGGTTAGCGTCGGAACATCCACTGGGCTAACAACTTTCGACGGCGCACGACGTCTCTTACGGCCGCGATGAGACATCGAAACACCGGCGTCAGAGGCGACTCCCTCGGGCGTACTGGATGGCGCGTTTCTTCGGTCTTGCCCGGTGGAAGGTCCTGCACCCCGCATTCCGCAAGATCCTGGGGATGGGTTGACAAGGTCCGCGGGGTC